GCGAGACTGGACGGTGGCCCCTGCCCAGCATCGCGCTGCCGTGATTTCTGACTCCTTTGAGAGCCCATAGGCTGCTGCAGGTGGGATTGCAGGACTGGGGAGGATGCGGATTCCCTCGAGTCGGGGTCTGCGTGCTTTCGGTGGGAGGGACCAGCCCCCTCGAAGCGCACGTGCACCGATCGGAGTCTATGCAGCCAGCCCGGAGCAGACACTGCTAAATGCCTCATTTTTCTATGACGAATCCCAGCCCACAGAGGAAGGCACCTGGTAATACCAAGACAATTGTATCACCCTCTGGATTTAAAATCACTTGAAAACACGAGGTGTTCCATTTCCCTCTCCAATTACAGCAGAAAAGACTTTCAGCAGAATTCATTAGCCGGATTAGACACACCGTGCCGCGCTCCCGGAGTCGGCGAGCTGCTCCGGCCGCAGGATGGGCTGCCAAACCCTGGTGCTCGGTGGATGTTGGACCTAGGGACACCTCTCTGGGGCTGGCCCACCTTGGCTCTCCCAGCTTGGAGGGCCAGGAGACCATCTCCACTTGGAGGTACGGGATTCTCCCCTGGCGCAGGGTCCAACGCCTGCGACGGGGTGGCCCAGCGTCGTCACCTCGGGGTGGCACCGAGCCCCAGCGGCGGAGCACCCCAGCAGCACGTGGGATGCTGCAGGCGGTCGGCTCCCGGGAGAGGCTCAAAGCCGAGCGGTGAACCTCCCGGCACCGATTTCGTTGGCTCCCCCGTCGGCTCAGCGGCGGCGGCAGCTGCACAGCCGCCCAGAGCAGCTTTTCCACGCCCCCGCGCTCCCAACGGCCCGGAGCCCGCCGTGCGCTTCGCTCGGCGTTCGAGGCGGCTGCGTGCCCGGGAGGCGTCAGGAAAAGAGCAGGTTCTTCGTGCTCGTTTGTTGCTTTGTTTTCCACGAGCTGCTTTAATTGTAATTAAAACCCAGCAGCCGCCGGGGGAAGGAGCACGCAGGGCGCCGAGGAGCTGAGTCGAAGTGAAGGGAGTGGTTGGTTTTCAGTCCCCTGCCGCGGCGCTCTTGGCTCCCCTTCCTAGCGTTAGAGAATCACAGAAGAGTTGGGGCTGGAAGGGACCGCTAAAGGTCATCTAGTTCCCACCCCCCCTGCAGTGAGCAGGGACATCTTCAACTAGATCAGGTTGCTCAGCGCCCCATCCAACCTGACCTTGAATGTTTCCAGGGACGGGGAATCGACCCATCTGCATTCTCTGCATTCAAAATTAACGCTTGCCGCTGCCTGCGCTGCTTCCCCGCTTATTTTCTTCTCTTTGTGACAGCGAGTGGGGACTGAAGCCTGCCAGTTTGTCATGCAGGTGAGAGACAACGAAAAATTCATCCTCTCTTTATACCATTTGCAGCCTGCCTGGCTCTGTCCCTTCCATTTTTAGGCTGAAATTCGTTACCGGCTGCTGCGGGGTCCTGGCCAGGTCATTCACTAAACTCCAGGGCTCTGGAGTGCTTCCCAGCTCCCCAGCTTGGGTGCGGGTCCGGGCCGCATCCTGACACCGTGCTGGGTGAGCCCCAAGCAGCCGTGGAGGAGCTGTATGGCACTGCTGCCTCTCACGGGTGTCCTCCTGGGCTCTGAGAGAGCGATTCGGTCTCAGATCCAGGCTCAATTCCCAGCTCTCCGGCTGCGTAACAGAGACAACAGTGCTCTCAGACCTCGCAAGGGTTTTGCAAGATAAATCTATTAAAGATTTAAAGACACCAGCTCCCAACTACTCAATAAACCCCTGTTGATAATAAGGAACCAAGCAGGTCTTAGATAACGCCAGGTTTTTTTCACTTTAACCCGTTTATCTCCAGGCAAATGAATGCAAAACCCAATTTGCTGCTACCTCCTGCAGGGCAGGACCCTCCCTGATCCAACCGTGGGTGGGATTTGTTCCGGGAGCAAATATCCGCGGGGATAATTCGGCGGCGCGAGCTGTCAGAGCAACAGGAATCAAGCAACGGGGCGGGCAGGACGGGAGAGCGACAGGGAAAGGAAAGGAAAAGCCAAGGAAAGCAAGAGGTACCGTTGACGGTGAGCGTCACCTCCCGTTCCCCGGCGCCGACCCGCGGGACCACGGCTCGGCACACGTACTTCCCCGCGTCTTCCTGACGGACGGACTTCAGGGTCAGCTTGTTCTCGTTGCTCAAGACCTGGAAGAGAGGAAGGGGTTGCTGTCAGGGGGGGCGGCGAGAAGTTGAACAAGATACACGTGTTACGAGCGCCACGAGAAAACGAAGCCGATGAGCCCGAAATGGAAATATCACTTACTGCTGTT